AAAAGTCAAACTACTAACACACATGAACAACACAGATGAATCAGACATTACACTGCCTGATGGAAATAGAAACATTTGTATACATTTAGTAATAAAATATCAATATTAACAGACGTGTTTCATGGATTTGCTGATTATATGTCCTCTGTATCTACAAATAATACAGTTTTGTACTTTTAAAAAATACATACTGAATGATTCTATTTACTTGAAACTCTAGAAGAGCTGGGCATGGTGGCGCATGCCTGTAATCCCAGCACTTGGGAGGCTGAGGCAGGAGGATCACTGCGAGTTCCCAGAGCAGCCTGGGCTACACAGTGAGTTCCAGGGCAGTCTGAACTACATAGTGAGATCCTGTCTCAAAAAAAAAAAATTCTTATAGAGACTACATTAATCTATAGTCACAGAAAATGGATTAGCAGGGAGGAAAGGTAGTGACTATGAAAAAGCTGGAGTAAACTGGGGGGGTGAAGATATGGTTATCTATCTTGATTATGGTGAAGGTTACACAAGCGTGTATAAAGCTCATTAAAATGTACGCTGAAAATGAAGGGCTTTTATTGTATGTAAATTAAACCTCAAAAAGGTTAATTAAAAAAAAAACTAAGCATACTAAAAACAAAATTAGCTACCACCACCAATTTTTAAATAAAACTTAGTTCAAGGAGGAGAGGTAGAATAATTTTACAGAGGACAAATTTGACAAAAAATCAAGGCCAACACAACGGTGACAATCGTGGGCATTGTGTGCTCTTGATATGATATGATACAAATAGCACTTTATCTCCACTGTGAACTTGTCTGAATTCCCACACGACATGAGAAAAACATCAGACAAAACAGGGAGTATTCCATAAAATACTTGACCAGTATTCCTTAAACTTGCCAAGGTCATCTAGTAACAAGGGAAGTCAGAGAAATGCATAGCCAAAAGAAGCCTAAAGACTCAAGACTAAACGTAAATTGGCATCTGGGATGTGATTCTTTTTTTTTTTTTTTTTTTTTTTTTTTTGGGTTTTTTTTTTTTTTTTTTTTTTTTTTTTTTTTTTTGGTACAGGGAATCAAACTCAGGCCCTTGAGCTTGCGAGGCAGGCAGCGAAATCACTGAGGCAAATCCCCAGCCCTTAGATGTGATTTTTTTTTTTTTTTTGAGACAGGGTCTCACTTTGTAGTTGAGACTGACTTGGAACTCACTATGTAGTCCAGGCTGGTCTCAAATTCACAGTGATCCTCCTATCTCAGTGTCCTGAGTGCTGGGATTAAATGTATGCGCCACCACACCTGGTAGATGTGATTCTTAAACAGAAAAAGACACTAGGTAAAACTAGAGAAATGTGAATAAATGATAGCCTGCAGAGTTTAGTAACAATACACCAATACTAATTTATTGCTGAGCGTGGTGGCACACACTTGAATCCCAGCATTCAGGACACTGAGGCAAGAGGATTACCTTGAGTGCAGGCCAGCCTAGAATACACAGCAAGAGCCTGGTTCAAAAGCCAATTAAAATTTTTGATTTATTAACTTTAACAAGGCACAACAGTAACCTAAGTTGTTGAGTTTTATTTTGTTTTTGAGACAAGGTCTTGCTATGCACCCCAGGCGGGCCTCAGATTTACACTCCTCCTAACTCAGCCTGCCTTATACTGAGATTATAGACATGCACCACCATGCCTGGCTATGTAATTTTTTTGCAACTTGTTTGTTTTTGACTTTTGGCAGAACTGGGGATTAAACTTAGAGCCTTCATACTGACTGGGAGGCTCAGGGAGGAGGATCACAAGTTCAAGCCCAGCCTGGATAACTAAGCAACCTAATGAGACACTATCAAAACAAAAGTAAAAAGGGTTAGGAATATAGCATGTTGCATAAGCCCTGGATTCAATATTCAGTACCAAAAAAAAAAAGAAAAAGATAAAAGCAGCTACTACTTGTTAAATCAAAGAAGGATGACTGGGCCAGGGATTTAGCTCAGTGGTACCACCGCCTGCTACGAAAGAGCAAAGTCCACAGTTCAACCCCCAGTATCCAAAAAAAAAAAAAAAAAAAAAAAAAAAAAAAAAAAAAAAAAAGGATGACTACTATATTTGAAAAAACTTTTACCTTTCCAACAACATAAATAATTTGTGAGGATTAATAGGACACATACTTCAACCAAATAAACAGAAGGTTGATGCAGAATCAACAGGCAAACAGCTATTTTCTACACATCCAGACATAAAAGCAATTTGCAAAAAAAGTGAAACAATGACTTATCACCCAATTTTTTACAAATATTTTAGAAAAATTGATATTTCTCATTAAAAGTATTATTTAACACAATGAGTTTTTTGTTTTACTTTGTTTTTGGTACCGGAGATTGAGCTCAGGACTTTGAGCTTGCCAAGCAGGCATAATGCTCCTGAGCTACATCCCCGGCCAGATTATTTTTAAGTGAATATTTTTTAAATTTCTCAATATGATATAGAGGATATGATTAAAAACCAAAAGCTCTCTGGGATCTTCAACAACTTTTTAAACACAGGGCAAAGGGATGCTGCAACAGTTTGAACACCACCTTAACGATCACGTACTAGACAATTAATCTCAGGGCCGGGGATTTGCTCAGTGGTGCTGCCACCAGCCTCACAAGCATAAGGTCCCAAATTCGATCCTAAAAAAAAAAAAAAAAAAAAAATTGAAAATTAATCTCTAGTACAACAGTGTTGGGAGATGGGGTCTAATTAAAGGTAATCAGGTCTTGAGAACTCTGTTGTTTTGAATGGATTAACATCCTGAACACAGGCAAGTCAGGCCCACCCCAGGCACCATGGGATGATGCTGCCTATGGGCCTACACCAGATGCCAGCACTGTGCTCTTGGGCTTCCCAGGCTTCAAAACCACAGGCCAAAGATATTCTGCTATAGCAGCAGCAAATGGACTAAAATAGGTTCTAATATCAAAATATCAGAGCTAGGAATATAGGTCAGCAAGTCTCTGAGATTCATTCCCCAGAACCATGCCCTCTGAAAAAAAAAGAAAAACCCAGTAGTAGCATCTACCTCAGAGAAGGGGGAAATGACAAAAGAAACAAACTGCAAACAAACTACATATATATATAAAATATATCCTGAAAAGCATTATTAAGGGAATAAAAGTTCATTGGCAAGAACACCAAAGCCCAAAACATAGCCAAGAAAGGTGGTGCATGCACATCTGTGATCCCAGCTATCTGGAAGGTTGAGGCAAGGCCACAAAGAGAAGACTAGTATGGACTTAGTGAGGCCATGTCTCAAAACAAAAAAGGGTTAACGATATAGTTCAGTGGTACAGTGCTTGCCTGACATATGCAAGCCCTTGGGTTCACTACTCAGTACCACAAAAACAAAGACAGGGAAAGAGGGAGGGAGGAAGGAAGGAATCAAAAATATCAGACACCCCTCCCAATCTAAAGGCCCAATCCAAAAATGGTCATCAAAAAACGAACAGACACTTCTCAGATGAAAAAGTAGAAACAGCAGGGCCGGGGATTTAGCTCAGCGGTTCGGTGGCCTGCCTTGCAAGTGCAAGGACCCAAGTTCAATCCCCAGTACCCAAAAAAAAAAAAAAAAAAAGCAAATAAGTCTATGAAAAAATGTTCAACATCACTGGTCATTCAAGAGATGCAAATTAAAGTAACAGTGAGATTCCATCTTACTCCAAGAAGAATGGCAGTTGTCAAGAAATCAACCAATAACAAATGCTGGAGGGGCATAACAAATGCTGGAGGGGCTGTGGGGAAAAGGAATCCTTCTCCATTGTAAGTAGGAGTGTAAACTGATGTAAGAGCTATGGAAATCAGTGTGGAGATTCCTCAAAAAACTAAACCTAGAAAGGTGGTGGTGCACACCTGTAATCCCAGAACTCAGGAGGCTGAGGCAGAAAGATCACTGTAAATTGGAGACCATCCTGGGCTACGTAGTGAGACCCTGTCTCAAAAAAACCAAAACAAAACAAAACAAAAAACTAAACCTAGAGGTTCCATTCAACCCTATTCCCCATCTTGATATTTTCCAGGGTTAAAAGCATCCTACCACAGCAAGGCGCACACATTTATAGTGGCACAATTTGTAAAAGCTAAATCTTGGAAACAACCCAAATGCCTATTAACAGATTAATGGATAAACAAGATGTGGAGTTTTTTTTATACAATGGAGTACTACTCTGCCAGAAAAAAAGATTGCTTGAGACATTTCTAGCTAAATGGATGCACTTTGAGACCATGATTTTGTGGGGGGTTATCAGGGATCAAACTAACTTAGGTCCTTGTGCTTGCAAGACAGGCAGCAAAACCACTGAGCTAAATCCCCAGCCCAGACCATACTCTGAAGCAAAATAAATCAGACATATTTTTTCTCTGGTGTGAGAAACTGAAAGTGGAAATAGGACTAAAATGTATAATAGATACTGGAAATGGGAAGAAAATAAGGGAACAAAGGAGGGGAGAGGAAGAAAGGAAAGAAGGGATTAGAAAAAAGAATAGAAAGAAAAAATGTAAACAAAGCTTCTGTAAATGAGGGGATGGGGGAGGGGGTTAAGGGGGGAATGGGAAAAAAGCAAAAACAAGACACATCATGTATAGGTACAAATTCCCTATGATGCTATGTTTATCTAAAATATACCAATAAATGTTTTGCTTTAAAAAAAATTAAAACTGCAAAGCTATCTGCAGGATTTTCTCTAAAACGCTAGAAAAAGAAAATATCTAGAAGCATCTGTGGGAGTCTGCCTAGAATAGCCACTACCCTTTCACTACTACTTTATGTTTCTAGATTGTGATCCTACACCAAAACTAACTGCACCAACGTCGGAAAACTGAACCAATACAATCATTCGAATCTTCCTTCCCAGAAAAGTGAAATGTGGACACTTTGCACAAGACTCTGTGTCCCATCCCCAGGCCTGCAACAACAAAAAAACAAAATAAAACAAATTACCTATTTGCATAACCCCTCAATTTTGTGTTTCCTTTCAAACATACCTGTTCAAAAGTTCTGCTGGTTCACAGCAGGAGGTTTGAGCAGACTTTGTTTAGGTCCTTTAACACTGTAAATAATAAAAACATTAATGTAAATCACCTAGTAATCTCTTAAAATCTTTTTAAAACAATTTTTATCAGGAATATATTTTATAGGAAGTAGCTTCCAAAACTAGTTAAAATACTGAATCACCTACTATGTGCTTGGAGAGGGGTGTTGACAGTACTAGAGTCTGAATCTTAGCATCTTCACAGATACACATCCCCAGTCTTTTTTACTTTGAAAACTGGTCTCTGGCTAAATTGCCCAGGGTTGGCTCCCAACTATCAATCCTCCTGCCTCAGCCTCCCGGAGTGCTGGGATTGAAGGTACAGTATGTGCCACTCTAGCTGCTGGTATGGTTATCAACTACATCCCTTCGTATTAGAGTATCTCAGTAGTGCTACCATGAGACTTCAATACGCATTAACCAAAGTTCTAAATGATTCTGACAAATGAACAGTATCACAGGGCTTCTGGGCAATAACAGTTTTCATTCAACTACATTATAGACAGGTGTACTGACACATGCCTGTGATTCCAGCACTTCAGAGGCTGAAGCAAGAATATCACCATAAGGTTGAGGCAGGCCTGGGCTACACAGTAAGTTCAAGGCCAGCCTGAACTATAGCAAGACCATGTCTCAAAAAACAAACAAAACTACAGTATAGCTGGACAAGGTGGCACACAGCTGTAATCTCAGCTACTCCGGAGGCTGAAGTAATACAAGTGAAGCCAGCCTTGGCAATTTAGCAACTCTGTCTCAAACATTAGATAGGGCTGAGATGTAGTTCAATGGTAGGGCGCTTGCCTAGCATGTCCATGGCCCTAGGTTCAATCCAAAATGCTGGGTGATAGGGCTTTGGCATTATCCTTTAAGGATTCCTTTGGAATTTCTGTGGAAAAATGACAGCAGCATCACAGCAATGTTGCATCCTACGCAAATAACCACTAAGCCCCCAGAAATCTGACTATTGTCAAAATGTCCGAGGATCAAAGTTCCAGATATGCTTTCAGTTACAAAATATCCAACTTCAATGCTGTGTTGAGAACCTTAAAAAGCCACAAGATGGCAATTTTCAAGTGACAACGATTAGACTGAAGGACCATAGCTTCAACTGGCTTAACTAAAATCAAATGATGCTTTAAATGCGATCAAAAAACAGTAATCAAAAATTAAAGCTGACAATTTTATTAACAGCAAGAAATCAACTTGAGGAAGCCACTTCCACTTCTGATTTAATTTTGGGGGAAAAAAAAAAGTGATGTTGCCAGGCATAGTGGCATACGTCTGTAATCCCAGTATTTGAGGTTGGTAGGAGGATCTCAAATTCAAGGCCAGCCTGGGCTACAAAGAAATGAAACAAAACAGAAATAAGTAGCTATGCTGTGATGATGTCCAAAAGATCATCCAACTATAACTCTTGGATTCCACATTTTTTTTTTAAAGAGCAAAATGAAAAGGGTAGTGATCCAAATAATAAAAGGGGGCCAGGGATTTGTCTCAGGGGTTCCCCTGCCTGCCTCACAAGTGCAAGGGCCCAAGTTCAATCCCCGGTACCAAAACTAAAAATTAAAAATAAATAAATAAATAAATAAATAAATAAATAAATAAATAAATAAATAAATAAATAAAATGAACTGTATGGGCCTAACTCAAGGGAACAAGCTCCAGGGTATAATCCTTTATGATTAAGTTCAAGTTAATGAAGGCCTGTAGTCAACAAGAAAACATAAAATTGTATGTAGGAAAATATACAATAGTTTGAAAATATTTTTAGCAAATTAAAGTCAAACTGGGTGTTGTGGCACACCCCTATAATACCAGCAGTATGCGAGGGAGAGGCAGGAGCAGTAATGGCAACCCTTTTAGTGCTTTCAATGACACAAACAACCTACTGCCATAGGCTCACTACCAGTGGGCAAAAGAATGGCGAATTCAAGCCCAGCCTAGGCAACTTAGTGATTTAATGAGACCCTGTCTCAAAATTTTAAAAAAAGGGGAAGGGTCTTGGGATGTAGCTCACTATGAAGGTCCTGGTTCAATCTCCATATGGGAAAAAGTTGTAGTAGATTGGTTACTTACAGAAATACTCTATTTTTCAAATCTCTCCCCTCCTCTCCCAACATCACACAAAATTATGGGCAATTCAACAATAGTATCTTCTACATTCCTACATAGTAACAGATTCCATCCCCAGTAATGAGGATAAGGTAAGCTTAACTATGAAATTAAATTTCCCTTATATCTTTGAAAAGATAGAATTCCTGGGCCAGGGATTTAGCTCAGTGGTGCCATGCCTGCCTGGCAAGTCCAAGGCCCTGAATTCGACTGCCACTACTGAAAAAAAGAAAAAAAAATTTTAAAGATATAATTTCTCAGGGCATTAAAAATGAATGGACCCTTGGATTCCTATAAAAGATAAAGCTTAACAGAAAAACAAGTAATGAAAACATATTTATTCAAACTGCCCTCTTTGGGCTTTTCTAGGTCTTACAGGTTCATAGTTTGTATCTTGCAATTTAGTACTTATGTACTGAAATTTGTAAATGCTCGGACAAAAAAATAAAGGAAAAAATAATAAATAAATAAATAAAAATAAAATAAAGGGCCAGGAATGTAACTCAGCAGCACAGCATCTGCCTGCCAAGTGTGAATCCCTGAGTTCAACTTCCAGTACCAAAGTAACTAAATAAAAATAAATTTAAAATAATAATAATAAAAAAAATGAATGGAAACCCTAGGTCTTTATTACCATAAAATACTAGTGAAGGTCAAGCAGAGGAAAAAATAAAGTGGGTTCCTCAAATTTTTACAACAATGACCAAAGAATGTTAAGGTCTATTCAAATTGGTGAAGGAAAATGGACATTTAACTTGCCTCTAAGATACCTGGATTAACACCAACATAGGCTGTAGATTCAACCTAATGAGACTGGTCCCGCTATAGAACAAAAAGAAAGTATGGAAAATTTAATCAGCAGGGGCTAATAGAGAACTGCAAACAATGTCAGTTTTTGAAAATGGCACAAATCAAAGATACTTTAGAAGTTCAAAGAATAGTAGTAATCTTGTCACCTAAAAACATCTTCCCAGACAATAATCACTATCAATAGCATCATCTTCCAGTACAAAGATCAGCAAGAGAATAGACCTATGGAGTATTAAAATGCAGAGTCATGAGAACAAATGAACTGGTATATCAAAAATACTGTAATTTAGAAAAGTTATTTCAAAAATTCAACAATGGGTCAAGAGGAAAAAAGCAATTAATTAAAACACTATCTCATCACTACCATCACTATGTCAAGCAGCCTTATTCACAACCCGACCTTTTAATTTCTATCTTTGTACAGTTTTGAAGCAAGATCACCATAAATTATTTTTATATAAATTACTCTGCAGCAAAAACACTTCAAAAAATATTAAATTCCTCGAATTGACATGAAAGAGGACACTTATGAAAGGCCATTTTAAGAATATGGGTATAAGCAGTAGCCAGGTATGGTAGCATATTCCTGTAATGACAGAACTTGGGATGCTGGGTCAAGAGAATGGCCACAAGTTCAAGGCCAGCCCAGACTATCTAGCAAGTCCCTGTCTCCCAAAAAACAAAACTGAAGAATATAGATATAAGCAGGCACAATGGCACACACTTATAATCTCAGCACTCTGGGACACTAAGGCAAGAGGATCACAAGTTGGAACCTAGCCTGAGCAATTTAGCAAGACCCTGTCTCAAAATAAAAACTAAAAGAGAGACTGGGGATATAGCTCAGTACTAAGGTCCCGTGTTGAGTTCCCCAGTACCAAAATAATGAAGAGGAGGATGAAATAAACTACATGGAAAAAAAAATTTTCGGCCGGGCATGGTGGTGCTCCCCAGTAATCCCAACACTCAGGAGGCTGAGGCAGGAGGAATCACTGTGTGTTAAGAGACCAGCCTGGGCTACATAGTGAGTTCCAGGACAGTGTCAACTACATACTGAGACTCTGTCTCAAAAAAAAAAAAAAA